TGAAATCGGAGAGCTTGGGGAACTGATCAGCAGTGGAGAGATGAGATCAGAAACCTGCCTGGGTATGTGGAATCAACTGATTGTCTGCAATGAAAAAGTGAAGATGACGAACAAGGATGCATTGAAAAATCTTGCTGAGGACACTGATTAAACTGATGGGCCTATAGGAATCTAGTTGAACTGGTGGCTTGGATGGTTTCAGGTTGAAATCTTCCAAGCAGTAGGGAAGAAACCTGTGTGAAGTAGAAAAATGTAAAATAAGGCCAATAGGGTAATAAACTGAGCTTGTGCATTGGAGAGATGGAAATAGATGAGACCATCTGGACTGTGGGCTGAGTTTCAACAATGACATAAGGCAAGTCAGACATCTTGAGCAGTAATTGGACCACACAGGGGTTGGTTTCCAGAACATAGGTGAGAGAGGGGCAAAGAGTTGGAAAAGTATGATCAAACAGTCATAAGATGTCGAAGCAATCATCAAAATCAATGTGGTGGTGGAGGATTAAACTGAGACTCAAAGTGGTGTGCAAAAGCATTGACCTGGAAAAGCGTGGTAGCAAGAACCTGACCATCCACAAGGATAAGATATGAAGGGGAGCGATACTAGCGAGTGAGGATGCGAAACTGAGTCCAAAACTGAGAAGAGGCATGGGAATGACGAAGACTGTTGCACAGGTAATGCCAACAGCGACGTTTAATAGCTTGAATGAAATTTCTGGCTGTGCATTGGAGACCTCTAAATTGGTGTAAAACAAGTGGATCATGGGAATGGCGATAGTCCTGGAGGAGTGAAGTGGCATGGTGAAGAAGTGTGATGGCTCGTTGGGGTACAGAGTGACGAAAAGTACATGACAGCAAAGAGGGGATCAAGTGAGCACCTGCAGAGGGAAGAGCTGATGTCAGGGTATTTTCAAAGGCATCAACACTTGAAACTGTGGTAGGGTCAAGGTCAGAAAGAAGAGAATGAAGATGCGTCCTGTAATCATTCCAGTCAGCTTTATGGAAATGGTAGTGGAGTCGTCGGTAGGGCGGTGACACAAGAGAGGAG